AGGCTGATGGTGAAGGTGGGCATAACATCCTGGCTGCTGTGCTGCGGGGGCTCCTCCTGCTGCACAGAGAGCGCAGAGCAACGGTTATGGGAAAGCTGGGAGTTGCTCTGTGGGATGGGGAAGACTTGCAGATAGGGGAAGTGAGGAGCCATCCCCGTACTGGGACAGGGCACAGACATCTCACCAGGTTGTTCTCCAGAGCCACCTCCACCATGGGGACCGGCCGGGGAGCGCCACCTGCAAGAGAGGGGGCAAGGCTTGGGAAGAGAGGCCAAAATGAAGTGTTTTGTGATGGCCAAGGAGCCTTTGAGGAGGCACAGAGATTAAGCAACACAGCTGTCCTATCACAGGGAGAGCGATGTGGAGAGTGACCGGGGAGGCAGGGAGATGAGCACCGGGTGCTCGCTGGCCACGTGTGCCCACATCTCACCTTGCAGCCCCTCGATGCGCTCAGCCAGCGCCTGCAGCCTGGCACGGCACTCGGCAAAGTCCTCGTGCAGCCCCAGCTCCCCATCCGCCGCCGGCCGCTGCCTCCGCAGCTCCTCCAGCGCATCCTTGACGAAGGGCTGCATGTCCATCACCTCCTGCTCCGTGGCATAGAGGCCCATCTTCTCCACCAGCCTCTCGCCCGCCTCCATCCTCCGCAGCACGGCCTCCACGTGCCGCAGCTCCCTCTCCAGCTCCCTGCGGCTCTTCTCCTGCCTCTTCTCCACCGTGGCCAGCAGCTCCTCCTCCTCGTGCCGGATCAGCCTCACCAGCTGCTCCACGCGCTGCCTCACCAGCTCCTGCACCTCGAGCCCCGCCGCCTCCAGCCGCGCCACCTCGTCCTGCAGCGCCGCACGCGACGCCTCGAAGCCGCCCCGCTGCCCCGCCAGCTCCTGCCCCAGGGCTGCCAGCTCGTCCTGCCGCCGCTGGATCTCGGCGCGGATGTCGCAGTAGAAAGGGGAGTGCTGGGCGTCCAGCAGCGCGCAGGAGCAGCACAGCGGCTTCTCGCACTTCCTGCAGAAGATGCTGGCGGGGAAGAGGAGCGCACGGTTGGCGCTGCGTCCCCATCCGCAGGGGGGCAGGACGCAGTGCTGCGTTGCTCACCTGGTGACGTGGCCCTGCTCGGTGTGCCCGGGGCTGGAGCAGAAGAGGCTGCACGATTTCTTGGTGCCCTCCAGGAAGCGATGCGCCGACTCGGCTCTCAGCTCTTCCACCTTCCTGGCTTCGTGGCTCCTCTTCTTAAAGAACCACTGGTGGTCCTCAAAGCAGCCCGGGCACAGGAACTCCTCGCACTCCGAGCACCACACGGCCGCCGCCTCCCGCCGGCACCGGCAGCAGCTCAGCCCCCCGCTGCTGATCCGCCGGTAGACGCGCAGACGGGCCTGCAGGCTGCTGAACAGCACGTTGTCCACGTCGGGGATGCCGTCAGGCTGCGGGATGGGCGCCTGGCACACGGGGCACTGCCCTACGGGTTTGTTCTCTCTCAGGCAGTCCAGGCACAGCGTGTGCAGGCAGGTGAGCAGCTTCAGGTTGGGTGATTCCTGCCGGCAGCCCTCGCACAGCACGAACTGGAAGTCGCCCTCCCCCGATAGCCCAGAGGGAGCGGGGCACTGCGAGGGTCCGGGTGCGACCCCCGGCTCCTTGGGGGCAGCAGGGCCATCTGGGTAGGAAGAGGAAGCGGGAGAAGTAGGGAGAAATGAGCTGTGTGCGTTTGGAGCGTTGGATTCGGGGTTAAGGGGGAGAATCCAAACGTGCCAATTGATTTTTTCCTTTTACTTTTGCTGCTTCCGGATCTTGCCGTGGGGGATTCAAGAATGGACAAATCGCGTCCCCACCGTATGGTTCCAGCCTCTGAGGTGCTCCCGCCAGCCCTGTCCCCAAAGCCCCCCACATCCTTCCCCAGCCCACCAAGCGAGCCCCACACAAAGCACGGTGCCTCCCCTTGCCACCTCCCTCCACATTTTCTGTATCCCCCTCAAAGAACAGCTTTGCATCCCAATTGTGACCCCGTTGCAACCCACACGTGTAACCCACCCACAGAGCCTACTGGGGGGGCTCCCATTCTGCCTATCCCCCAATCCCTCCAGCCCGCCTCCCCGCATAGTAATAAGCGCGGAGCAGGCACACGGCGGCGGGGGGACCTTATTTACCTTCTTGGGATTCGGATGGTCGAGGGGCTTCGGGGCTGCCGGGCATTTCGGCGCGCTGGGCCGGAGGCTCCGCTTTCGTTTCTGCAATCCGGCGTGGGGAAAAGGAGGAGCTGGGGGAGGGAGGAAGGCGGGGATGATGGGAGAAGGCGGGACGGGACGAGTCCGGGACGGGGCACGGTCCAACGGGGGTCCCATGTACCGCTCGTCCCGTTCCTGCCATCCCACTGCACTGGGAGGGAGAATATCGGTGGGGGATGCTGCCAGGGGGGATGCAGACACCCATAGGGTGATGCTACGGGGGGAATGCCGGTACCCACAGGGTGATGCTGTAGGGGGGATGCAGACACCCGCAGGGTACCACCCCCTTTTGTCGGCTGCCGAGATGGAGGAGCGCTTGTTTTGTCGGCACGAGAAGGCCGCGTGGAGAGGGATTTGCTGGGAAAAAAAAAAATCTATTTCTCTATTTCCTATGGGGTTGGAGGGGACCCCGTAGGGATGCGGGATCTTCCGGATCCCCCCGAGGTATGAGTACGGCAGAGGACGCGACGCTCCCCGAGGTCGCCGGAGCGTTTCCCGAGCATTGCAGCCGCCGGAAAAACTCACCCCGCCGTGAGCCTTGCGTCCCTCTGCCGTCACAGCCACATGAGGGGCGGACCAGGAAGCTCCGGCAGCTCCCTCCTTCCCCTCTGCATCCTCATCCTCATCTAGGAACCGCCGGGAGGATGGAGCCCCCCGGCCCCAGACCGGACTGAGGCTCCAGCAAGGAAAACCAAGACAGCATTGCTTTATTGCAGCAAGGCTGCAATAGGGCTGTTGGGTTTTTTACCCTCTCGGCGTTGCACATTGCAGCAGGGAGATGTTCAGCAGGTCGGGATACCAGGCACTTCCCTTAGGGGATTTTGACCGCTTCCAGCAGTCCAGCATTGGGCTGTACGGTGCACAGAAGGGCTTCTTCTCCTTCGGATCCAAGGCAGACCAGCTGGGATCGGCCAGGAATGCTGCAGGTGAGCCCCGACTGCAGAGGGGAGATGCTGCTTTCTTCTCCTCTGGGGCTTCCAGCAGGGTGTTGTTGTGGCTGGGTGCTCTCACTCGGCCTGGGTGGGGTTTGCTGGTGGGTGCACATTCCCTGCCCCCCTTTCAGACTCCTCCCAGGGTTGGCTGTCCTGGATCTGCCATGGGATCATCACCTCCTTGGTCTTCCTACTGATGCTCCTCACTTTCCCCATCTCAGGCTGGTTTGCCTTGAAGGTAAGGGAAGGGAGCAGGTGAGGAGCAGGGTGGCAGCCCGTGCTCTGTGCCAGGCAGTGCCTGGCATTTCACTCCTGTCCCTGTCTCTGTGTCCAACCCTCAGATAGTGCCTACCTATGAACGAATGGTCATCTTCCGCCTGGGCCGCCTCCGTGCACCGCAGGGCCCTGGCGTGGTGCTGCTGCTGCCCTTCATTGACCACTGGCAGCGTGTGGATCTGAGAACACGGGCTTTCAATGTGCCCCCCTGCAAGGTGAGCCACCCTTGAGGCATCCCAAATACCCGGAGCAGCATTCTGCCTATCCTCATGGTGAGGCAAGGAGCGTTACAGGGCTGGGAGCCACGAGCCCTGGGGCAGGGAGGCACCTATTGACCTTCCGTATCTTGGTCAATGGATGTTCCCAAGTGGAGACATCTCCAAAGCATCAGCCCGTACCCAAATGTCTCTCAGCAATGGCTGGAAGTTGTCATTCTGAGCAGCCCAAAACGTCATCATTGGGGTTGGCTTTATTAAAGAGGTGGGGGAGGGAACCTTGTGGGAGTTTGGGCGTGGGGTGCAGCGGGGCAGACCCTGACCCCCTCTCCCAGCTGATCTCCCGGGACGGTGCCGTGCTCTCCATGGGTGCTGACGTGCAGTTCCGTGTGTGGGACCCCGCGCTGTCCGTGCTGGTGGTGAAGGACCTCGTGGCAGCCACTCGCATGACGGCACAGAGCGCCATGGCCAAGGCCTTGGGCAAGAAGAGCCTGCGGGAGATCCAGGGGGAGAAGCTACGCATCGGAGAGCAGCTGCTGGTGAGAATGGCCCGGGGTGTCCCCTGGCTGGGGACCTCAGGTCTAAACCAGCAGCACGCTGAGCTGTGGGATCTGTTGTCTCCACGGTCTCCCACAACCTCTCTTCCCCTTCTTTCCTCAGTTGGACATCAATGACATGACCAAGTCCTGGGGACTGGAGGTGGATCGCGTGGAGCTGACGATGGAGGCGGTGCTGCAGCCCCCCCGGGATGCCCTGCAGGGACCTCTGGGTGCCATAGCCCCGGTGCTGGAGGGCTCTCCCCCACAGCTGGCTTCCCACCTCCTTGACAGCAAACCTGGTGCCCCAGAGGCAGGTAGGAGCCCATAACCTTTGAGCCCAGAGGATGTTAGAAAGAGGAGCCAAAGTCCTGCAGATACCACTGCCCTGTGAGCACAGCACAGATAGGCTGGGGGCAGCTCAGGTTTCGTGCTGGGAGCTTGGCACGGCTCTCAGAAGGGGTGGGAAGTGACAGCGAGATTTTTCCCCAGGTGCTTTGAGTCACGGGGATGGGAGGAAGACTCACGTGTCAGCTCAGACCCCTGCTTATTCCTAAGAAGGAAAAAATGCACTCTGTGGTTGCAGTGTGACTATTCTGGATGTGTCATCCCTTCAGCAATTTTGGCTAAGGAAGACAGGGGCAAGCAAGGGAACGAAAGCTATGGGCATCTGGTGGAGGCTGGAGGAGGGAGTGCCATGTGGTGGGGGTCCTTGTGGACCAGCAGAGCTCATCCTGAAAGTGTCCCCTGTTCCATCCCCTTGTCCCAGCAGACAGCGTGGTGACAGTGAGCGAGGTGAACCCCCCCAGGAGGAGGCCCAGCGTGGCTGAGCTGCTCTCAGCCGTGGAGCCCATCCTCTCCGAGGCTCTGGTGAGCCAGGTGGGAGCATCCTACCAGGTGGACATCATCCTGCCCGGCGGCGCCCGCAGCACCTTCTTCATAGACCTCTCCTCAGGTGGGGTCTTACGGTGGGGTGGGTGCTCTAGGGGATCTCCTCATGGTCGGCGTCCCAGCTCACAGCTGCTCCCTCTCACCCCATCCGTGTCCAACAGGCAGCGGGCGGGCTGGCTGCGGTGTGCCCCAGGGCAGCCCTGATGTGGTGCTGGAAGTGGCAGAGGAGGACCTGCAGGAGCTGATGCTGGGCGAGCTGCGGCCCCTGGCTGCTTACATGAGCGGGCGGCTGCGGGTGCAGGGCGACTTGCAGCTGGCCCTCCGCCTGGAGGAGCTCTTCAAGGCCGTGAAGCTGCACAGATAGAGCATGCGCGTCCCTGCGTGTGTGTCTGTAGGTGGGGGACAGCAGAAGAACATGGCGAGGACGCTGCCAGCCCTCCCCGTGGGATGACAGGAGGCGGGTGAAGGCCTGAGCGGGGAAACTGAGGCAACGGAGGCATCGCTCCTTGGCTGAGCCCCTCCAGCTGCCCTTGTGCTTGTCTTGTCTCGCCCCTTGCCTGCAATGCATCCAGTGGGCACCCCAGCTTTGGGCCATGTGGTCCTTGCAGCTGCTGCCTTTTGGGGAAGGAGCAGAGGTGGCATCCGGGGAAGGAGCAGCCTGGAGTTGCCCCATCCAACACAAGGAGTGACGGCGTTGATTTGTGTTTCTGCGTTGTGTGGTGTGAGCTCTGTCTGCGCTGCGTGCGTGGGGCTGCGTCCAGCCATGTATCCGTAGCTCTTTATTTTGTAAGCTTCCTTTCTATCCCAATAAACATACTCTAAGGGTAGTAACAGGATGGTGGCTGCAGTTGGTGACCCTGCATGTAGGTTGGTGGCCCCTGCATGCGGCAGGGGGGTTGGAGATTCATGATCCTTGAGGTCCCTTCCAACCCTGGCCATTCTGTGATCCTGTGGGCTCTCCCCCATGCCCCGCTGCACTGAGCCGTGCCTCAGTTTCCCCATTCCTACCAATAGCCTGTGTGGGGATGCTCAGCACCCAGAGGTGAAAGCATCTCTGTTCTGGGTAACCCCAACAGGTCCATGGTGGGGGTACCCCCCCTTTGGTGATGTCCCCCCTCAGTCACAGTCCTTTTAGCTGCCAACTCCTTTGGTCACGGTCTCCACTTGACGGTGGTCCCATAGCCACCAGCGGAGAGTGGATGGAAGGATGGAGAGGAGCCGGGGTGCAGCTCCTCCCATGGAAATGGCTTCCCGGCAGCAGTTAACATAGGTCCCGCCCGGAGGAGGAGTTTGCAGCACCGGGAAACCGAAACTGGGTGACGGGAGAGGCGGGGGGAGCCCCGGAGCCGTGCCACGCCATGGACGGCCTCGAACCCGCGGTCCCGGTGAGCCCCGGCCGGCAGCGGGGGGAGGCGGGGTGGGAGGAGAAGGGGGGGCGGCAGAGGGCTGTGCCCCGACGGGGCGGTGGGCACGGGGCTGTGCTGGGACCTTTTGGAGGGCTTTCATCCTTTCATGCGTATGGAGTGGGTGCGATGGGAGTGTGGGGGGCTGCAGAGTGGGTTGGTGGCAGGGAGAGGGACGGGGTGGCAGGGCGGGTGGGTGCCCCCTGTCCCATCCCCACCCTCCAACGCTGCCAACGCGTTGCCCCTCGTGCTATGGGGAGAGGAAGTGCTGAGCGACAACCAGCGCCCCGCAGGTAGGAAGTGGCCGCTCACCTGGGCCAGGACGGGGGTTCTGAAGCTCTGTCTCCTCCCTTGCTTTGCCAAGCCACTGGAGGACAACTTCCACTTCGTGCTGTGCGAGGGCTGCCGGCAGGAATCGCCCGACCTGAAGCTGCTCACCTGCCTGCACACGCTGTGCCTGGGCTGCCTGAGAGAGAACAAACCTGTAGGGCAGTGCCCCGTGTGCCAGGCGCCCATCCCGCAGCCTGACGGCATCCCCGACGTGGACAACGTGCTGTTCAGCAGCCTGCAGGCCCGCCTGAGCATCTACCGGCGTGTGGTCAGCGGGGCCGAGCTGCTGTGTGACAACTGTGGGAGCAGCAGTGAGTACTGGTGCCCGGAGTGCAAGGAATTCCTGTGCACAAAGTGCTTCGAGACCCACCAGCGCTACGTCAAGCAGGAGAACCACGAGGCCAAGAGGGTTCAGGACATCAGGGTGGGATCGCCGCAGGAGTTCCTCGAGGGCACCAAGAGGACCAGCAGCTTGTCCTGCCCCATCCCGACCCACCAGAAGCAGACTCTAAGGTAGGGAACATCTTGTCATTCATCTTTGGGCTGGGCGAGGTGGTTCTGTCCCTCTGCTGAGGGCTACTGGATGGAAAAGTTGGATGGGAGTCGGTTGCAGTGACCAGTGGGGAGCAGGGAGGAAGTGCTGAGGCTGCTGATGGGGACAGAGGAGGGCATAGGATGAGGATGAGGATGAGGATGAGGATGAA